TGCAGTATTGTTAACTATAGTCACCATGATGTACATTGCATCCTCATGACTTATTTCATAACTGGAAGTTTGTACCTTTTGACCCCTTCACCCATTTGAATGTCATACTTGAGCTAAAGGTATGCTATATGGTCTTTGTTCTTAAGGGTCTCACAGACTAGACTGTGGCACAGGACAGAGTGGTAAGTGCTCTGGGGTCAAGGCTTATTTTTTTCTCCCAAATGGATAATTCAGTTTTTCCAGTACCATTTGTTGAAAAGACTGTATTTTCTTCATTGAATTATTCTGACACTTTTATTGAAACCAATTGTCCATGTATGTGAGGGTCAGTTTCTGAATTCTGTTATATAACTTGGATCTATATGCGGATCCGCTGGTGTTGGTCGTAAGACCTGGCATGGACCCTGGTACATAATAAATATTTTTGGAACAAGTTGTAACTTTTCATAACATATCAGGTAGTCCTTATGTGTTAATATTATTCATTAATTTTATTTATCTTAATCCTTCCAAACAGCCTATGCTTTACTGTGAAACCAAACTGCTTATATATCTAAGTCAGGAAAATTAACTCCAAAGTAAAGTAAGTTATTAAATGGGCACGTTAGTTTGAGTTGTCCCAGCCTGAGATAGGGTGTTGTTTGTTTATCTTCATGCTAAGTGTGGAGTAAGTCCTTCTGAGTAAGAATTATTTCTTTTCCAAGCACAATATTGTATATTTGTGAATATAGTGGAAACATCCCTATTCAAATCTAAGATCAAAATCTAATCCTCAGACCCAGTTATAAACTATTTTTTATTATTTACATTATTTCTCCCTTTTATTAGCTTAATAACAATTAGTTGTGATTATTGAAAATTTAATTTTAAAATACCCCAATTCTTCTGTTCTCTTTTCTCTGCACCTTAGCTTCATATTCTATAGCAGATCCTTTATTAGGGATATTTTCTTCCTGTTTTCAGTGTAATTTGAACCTCACAAACCCTAAGCTCCAGGGAAAGTGAGTCAGAAGCAGAACCCTGAAGCTTAAGCCATGATCTAATTTTTAAATAAGTCACCTGGTACCTAACACCTCACATTCATCAAGAACCCTTTTGGTATCTGGGCTTGGGGACCATGTAGATTACCAAGTGATTAGTCACCAAGTTATTTTTATAACCATATTCTCCTGTACTGTTTCCTCTGAATCAGGCCATTTGTAGCAGGTATGAGCACTTGGTCATTTCCATAAAAGTAAATCGCAGTGTTTTCTTCAAAGAGAAAACATATCTGGGGGTCATATCTGGCTACTGGGGCTGACCAGTAGCATTTGCTAACATTGTGATAGTTGCTGAGGACTCATGGGGTAATGAAACACATTCTAGAACCAGCCTTGCCCTGCCCAGGGATTCCTCCTCGTTGTAATTGGGGAGTAGTAACTAGTTATGATAGAGTGTGATAAGTACAACAGATCCTGTAGGAGCATAGACTTCTCAGAGGTGAACCAACTTTGCCTTGTGGGGAATGGCTGAGATAAAGCTGAGTTTTAAAAGAAGAGTAAAAAAGGAAGGCCATTTCAGGAACAAGCTGTACAATGAAATCAATGTGTGAGGAGGATGACATCTTTGCAGAACGGCAGGGAGTTCGGTATGGCTTGAGTATCTTTGTACAAGAGCTGAAAGAAATCACTCATGAAAGGCAGAAGCCAAATGTTAGAGACTTATACTCACAGAAGAATTTGTGCTTCATCGTGTGGGTGTTTCTGGTGGCCGGGTGGGGGTGGGATGGGTTTGGAGGAGGAGATGACTGCATTGAAAGGGAGGGATTGTGGCAGATTTTTGTTTTCCAAAGACTACTCTGGCAGTAGCATGGTAGATTGAGAAATTTGGGCCTGGAGGAAGGGGGACCAGTTAGGGAGATACTGCAGTAATTCTAGGGAGAACTGGTGGCAGCCTGATGTGGCAGTGACTATAAATGGGGAGAAGGGTCAGGTGAAAAAGCTGTTTGAGGACAGAAGCTCTTGGGGATTGATTGGTGTTGGGGAGGAGTGAGGAAAAAAGGAGTCAAACGTGATACTGGGTTGTTCACTTGGGTGACTGGCTGGTGTGTGATGCCACTTACTGAGGCAACAACATGCAGAAGTGGCCACGTGTGAGGAGAAACACTGTCGCATTCCATTTGGGCAAGTTTGCATAGAGAGATCTTTGGAATTGCCAAGTGAAGTCCCAAAGGACCCAAATGGACTAGACATAGGGAGAGGTAAGAGCAGGCCAGGGCCAAGGGTTGTCGTCTCTTTTACTTTTTAATAAATTTTTATTTTAGAATAGTTTTAGATTTACAGAAAAGTTATAAAGATAGTACAGAGTTCCCATAAACTTAGCATTGCTTTAGGTCCTGCTTCCACCTCTTCTCTGAGTTTGTGTCATATTGGAATGGGTATCCTTGTTCGAACAAATATTCCTGTACACATGCTTGTGGTTCAGAAATCAAAGCAATATAAAAAGGCATATAGTAAAAACTTACTCCTGCCCCCATCCGTACTGTTCACTCCCACTCCCTACAAATAACTATTTTTATGAGTATCTTGTGTACTGATCCTTCCTTTTTTTCTCTTGTAAATGCAAGCAAGTAATAAGAATACAATCATGTGCTGCTTAGCTACCAAGATACGTTCTGAGGAAGGTGTCATTGGGCAATTTCATCGGTGTACGAACATCAAAGTGCATTTACACAGCTAGGTGGGATAGCCTACTACTGTAATTGCAGGTGCTGTACTTTTATGTGACTAGCAGTGCAGTAGGTTTGTTTACACCACATCACCATAAACATGTGAGTAATATATTGTGCTACAACATTCGGATGGCTATGATGTCATTAGGGGACAGGAATTTTCCAGCTCCATTTTAAGTTATGGGACCATCATTGTATATGCAGTCCATTATTGACCAAAATGTTGTTGCACATGACTGTACACATTGTAATGTGTTCCCTCCCTTTCTTATACAAATGTAGTATATTATGGACATTGTTCTGTAGCTTGCTTTTTTGCTGAACAATATACTTTAGAGATCAATATATCTAGAACTACACTGTCTGAGAAGGTAGCTACGGGCCATATGTGGCTACTAAGCACTTGAAATATGGCTGGTGCAAAGAAAAGACAGAATTTTAAATTTTATTTAATTTAAATTTTGATTGTAAAATGGAAGCAGTATAAAATATATTTCCATTAAACTCAACTTTATTGTTTTGGTAGAATGACATTTCACTTTAACCATGGAAAATACAGCATCCGAATTGAGATAACGGTGTGAGTTTAAAATGCACACTAGATTTCAAAGACTTAGTTTACATTCTCTTATGTACTATTTTATTGTTTTACATTATTTACATGTTGAAATAATGTTTAGTACATTAAGTTAAATAAAATTTTATCAATTTCTTTTTGTTTTTAAAATATGGCTACTAAAAAATTTAAAATCACATATGTGACTCAAATTATATTTCTACTAGACAGCGCTGATATAGTGCATCCACATTTTTTTACAATTTTATAGTATTCCATTGTATAGAGTACCATATTTTATTTAACTAGTCCACTATTGATGCATACTTAAGTTGTTTTTAGTCTTCTACCATTAAAAATGCAGAAATGCTTTACCTTGTCCATGCATCACTTCATACATGTTCAGGTTGACCTGTGAAATGAAGTCCCAGTATTGGGGTCGCTGCATTAAAGAGTAAATGTAATTTTGATATTGCCAAATTGCCCTCCATAAAAGCTGTCCCATTTCCACTTTACCAGCAGGGTGCCTGCATGCCAGTTCCCCAGGTACTGCAGTTCTAGACTACATCTACATGGCTTTCAGATAATAATGAACAAGTTTTCTCTTTGCTAATTCCAAGGGAGTTTTAAGAAGAAATCACAAATGGTTTGCCTAACTTCATTTTGTATTAAAAAACACACAAAAACAAACAACCAACTATTGATGATGAAACTCTTAAAATCAACGTTTTAGAATTGACCCATTTTTCTAATGAAAATGTCAAGGAATTAGCCTACACTGTTTTCCTGGGCTATAAATTTCTATGAAAGTTTTATCATATGCAGATTTAGGAAGAGATTTTTGTCAGGGTTCCAGTAGATAAGGGACATTTTCTTTTGTTTTCCATGACTTAGAGATTCCTTGAGTTCCTACAGCAGCCTTCCCCGGCTGGGTGGGCTGACACTGCAGCCTGGGTGGAAAGGCAGTGTGCACGCAGGCTTTACATGCTGTCAGTGTATCAGTTCCCTGGATTCGTTTTACTAAATGCTCAGTGCGTTCTAACTTAACGGGCTGCTTAACTAGGGAAATCTACTGACAACATATTTGGAGCTCATGAGCTGTCATAATCGTTAGAGTCAATTCTATTTACTTTATTAACAAGCTGCAGAACAAGTTCATCTTTCCACAGTTAAGATCCAACTGTTGTCCCTCTTCGGGACTTGCATGCCCTCTACTGCCTTCTTTGCCTTTTTTGTTCTTTTTCAGATTGAAATGGAGAACATTCAGTATCTAAAACCAAATTGCCTCAATTTTTCTGTTTATAGGAATCTGAAAGTAAGATTCTTAGGAAGAGTAATCTCACTTTGTTGTCAGGGATGCGTCAGATAAGTTAGTAAGTTAGTATAATGGAAATACTTGGCTTTTAGGAATGTAAACTTATATTTTGGCAAATCCTAGAGGAAACAGAGTATTTTATAGCCAGTATGACCATGGAAATTTGTTGTCTTTAATAGTTTGTTTTTCAACATGAAAAGTTAAGAAAAGGAATAAAAGGCGAAACTATTCATGTTGATCTTGCAGGAAGAGCACTGGGACACAGGGACTTACTTATCGGGAGGGTCATCCTGGCCGTTGATACTGAGTTATCTCTGCGCATGTTATATATAAATAACCGCACAGCTTTCTGCACTACAGCTACTCTTCACATCCCTTTTTTATTTTATTGCTAATTTTGCTTAATTGTTTTGTTTCAGGAAGGGTTTTCACTCATTGGTAGCAAGAACTGGTTGAAGATTGTAAGACGCATGGATTGTCTGTTGTTTGGAACAACGATAAAGGCAAGATACTGTGTGGGCAACTGTTTTTAAGCACGTGAACATACCCTTCTCATATTCTATTTGCACATGGGGCATGTGGGAGCTTCTCTTTACAGGTGAGATGGTACTGGTATAATACACGTTTAAGAAAGGTTTGCATCATGGGCAGAACATGAAACAAGGGCTGTAGAAGGGCAGAAGCCTAGTTAGTAAGAGGATGTTGTGGACGAGCCAGGACTTTGATGGGTCTCTCTGAGGAAGGTGGGCAGCCATTCTCCATCACCCAAGCACAAACTGAGGGGAGGTGGACTATATCATTGTTTGCCTTACTAGATGTTAAAGTTATGTATTTTTGGCTCTGGCCAGTGTTTGCTCAGTGGTTAGAGTATCGGTCCAGACATGGAGGGGTCCCAGGTTTGATTCCTGGTCAAGGGGTCATACCTGGGTTGCAGGTTCGATCTTCAGCCCTGGTCAGGGCCCATGTGGGAAGCAACCAGTGTCTCTTTCACATCGATGTTTCTCTCTTTCTCCCTCTCTCTCTCTTCCTCTCTCCCCTTCTCCCTCCTCCCTTCTACGCTCTCTAAAAATCAATGGAAAAAATACCCTCAAGTGAGGATTAACAAAAAAACAAAAAAAGTTGTGTATTTTGGAGTGCTTCACTGAATGTATGTTTTCATTTTTTTCCCTCCTTAATATTAAAAATTAAATTCCTTTTTTATTTGCTTTCTACCTCTATTAAACATAAAGAATAATCCTCACCAAAGAAACATGTAGATTAATCATTTGGATTGTTTTCTCTCTGAAATAACTATAAAAAAAACAATCTGTTAGCATTCACTAAGTAGATAATATTGAAATTTAGGTGAAAGATCCTAATTTCTAATGGGCTCGGAACTGAAAGTTGGAAGAGGTCTTCAAGAGCATCTAATAGAAAGGACTTACCCCGGGGTCCACAGACCCTCCAAAGGGTCCTTAAAGAATTCAGGGGTCCAGAAACTGCATGGATTTTCACCAACCTCTAATTGAAATTTATCTTTTCCTTCAATTATGAATGTAGGCGTCAGCCCACAGTCGTATTAGACATTTGCACCAATAGAAATCACAGATATTTGCATATCCCATTATAGTTATTTCAGATATCTGTCATGTCATTTATGCGTATCACTACCTCAGAATTATGGTGGTTGTTCATCCTACTGCTAAGATCTTTTTATTGAGCGTGTTGATAAGGAAGCATGCGTATTGTTACTTCACAAATTGGTATATTAATATTGTAATACACCATTTCAGTATAATTGGCTTCCTGTGTGATTAAAAACATTGTTCGAAGAAGTTGGCCCACTGACTTCACCAGATTGCCAAAGCGGTCTGGAGCACATACTCAAAGAATTCATGAACCTCTGGTCTCCTTTTACACATGAGGAAAGTGAATTAAACTTTGGCCAGCAGTTATAACCAACTATCAGAGAACTGGGCTACCCGTTGTTCTTCCGACTCCCAGCCCAGGACTGTGTCATGCTGAATGAATGTATATGTTTTTTAAAAAATTATACCATGCCATATGCCTGATATTTGATTTTTAATTTTTTCCTTAATATATATTATTTAAATTTGTAGCTAATTATAAAGAGCAAAATAAAAATCAGCCATAATTTAACCACTCAAAAATAATCATTAGACTAAAGACAAAAGAAAGCTGGTTATCAGAAGGGAAGGGGAAATTGGGAGAGGTTGAGGAGGGTAAAGGGGGTCGAATATATAGTGACAGGAGGCGATAAGACTTCAGGTGGTGAGCACATGATAGAGTATACCAATGTTGTATTATAAAAGTGTACACATGAAACTTATATAATGTTATCACTAACCAGTATTACCCAAATAAATTTAATTAAAATCATTATTCACATTTTGAAGCTTTTACTAGGTATATATATATTATATCAGCATTCAGATGCATGTGACAGAAAATCCAGGTATAGTGGCCCCCAAAATAAGGGTTTATTTTTTTCACTAAATAAGAAATCCAGAAACAGGTAGTGCTAGCTCGCACTGGCCCAGGTCCACATCTTTGCAATTCCCTTGGCCTCTCCCTTACATTTGCAAAATGGCTGCTGCAGCTCTATTTTATTTCCATTCAAGAAAGACCAGCTTCATCTGTTCATTTTATAGGGAAAGCATAAAGTTTCCTATATTGCTCTCTACCTCCCACAACCCCTAGAAGATGTCTACTTCTGTCTCATGGACCAGAAAGAGCAGTGCAGTGTAGCCATCCCACATGCCAAGGTTAGCAAAATGAGTGTTTGGCTTTTCTAGCCTATGCTCATGACAGCGAAGTGTCTGCCATGTACATCATTTATAAATTTGGAATTATAGCATATAGAGTGCTTTGTGTCCTGTTCTCTTGTCATGTAACATTACATCAGAGACATTATGCCAAGTCATTTCTTAGTCTTTGAAAACACTATTCTTCATGGCTATGTAGCATTTTATTGTTTGGACGTACCATGATTCAATTAAATAATTCCCAACTTTCCACTGTTATATTTTGATTTTCAGAAGAATTTATTTACAGTGTTCTTGGAATAGAAATCCTAGAAATTTGAACATTTATTTAGTAAACTTTCCCTCCAGATAGTCTGTTGCTACAGCCTAGCAATGTATAAGAATGCTTGTTTATCCAGATCCTTTCCAATGGGCAGATACAGTTTACATTTAAAAACTCACCTCCAATTCGATGGACCAGAATGAGCATCTTCCTTTAATTTGCATTTATTTGGTAACTAATGAGAATAAACATTTTGTGTTTGTTAGCCATCCATCTCTCTTCTGTGAGTCACCTAATGCTTTTGCCTAATTTTCCTCTTCAGAGTATTTAGATACTATCCATAGAGATTTTACATGTTATATAGAAATATGTATTTATATAATTTGTGTAGCTAAGTAATTTTATTTATAATACTTATGTATATATCATATAATTATAGGTTTTAAGATATTTAAGGTTTGGAACCTTTTGCCTGTTGTAATTATGAGTGGTACTCTTTATCTCAAAGACATTTCTAGCTGATTGGATTCTTTCTGTAATTGATTTAAATTTAGCTTCCTTACTAAACTTTTTTTAACTGGTAATTTGTATTAATTTATTAATTTCTAGGGAAATAGTTTTATAATCTGCAGTGATAATTTTCTTTCCAGTAGTTTGTACTTATTATTTTTATCACCAACACTGGAGTTACATGGTTATGGTGCTGTCCTTGACGTCTTGCTGACCCGAATGGGCAGACGCATTTGGATATTCTTTACCATGTAAGGGAGACAGAGTCTTTCAGTTATAGTTTATTCACTGATACTTTCATCAGGATTGTATATTAAATTTTATCAAAAACTTTTTGACACCTATCAAGATATGGGGGTTTTTTCTTTGATTTATTGACTTTACATATTAATATTGGACCAACAGATTCTTCTTTTTGCCTTAGCTGGCAAAACATATGTTTGGTGTTTCTTACCTTGGCTAACTTTAGTTAACCAGGTATTATGTAACAAACACCATTATTTAAATTAACAAATGGAAGAAGTATTTCAAAATAAATTTTTCATTCCTTTAACAGCAATTTAATATAACACAAATCCTGTGGTAATAAAGATTATATTTCTTTTCTCTCTGGCTGAAATAAGTAGACTGTATAAATTCTGCCTACTTGTACTTCCTTTTGTCCAGGAATTCTGATCAAAATGGTCTCAGAGGGAAGGCAGGGTGGGTAGATGGGAAGAGATTAACCAAAGAATTTATATACATAACCCATGGGCACAGATGATAGTGTGGTGAAGGCCTGGGGAGGGGGCAGGGGTGGAGTGGAGGGATCAATGGGGGAAAAAGGGGGATATCTGTAATACTTGCAACAATAAAGATGTTTAAAAAAAAGGTCCTAGCGAATTGGTTAACAGTTGACACATAATTCCCTTTCTTTTTTTCCGTTGATTTTTAGAGGGAGTGGAGGGGGGGGGAGAGGAAAACAACAGAAAACATCAGTGTGACAGAGACACATTGATGGGGAGAACCTGTAACCCAGGTACATGCCCTTGACAAGGAATGGAACTGATGACTTTCGGTGCACAGGCTGACGCTCTAACCACTGAACCACACCATCCAGGGCCATAATTACCTTTCTGAAGGGACTTTATTTCAAAGAAGTAAACCCAAACCATTTTCCTCTTTACTTCTCATCCCAGTAACTCACTGAAGAATTTTTTAATGATTTTGTCTGGCCTAGGCTTTGGTTTCAAAGCACAGGATCAAAGAAAATGCTGAGGTCCTTTCTCTGGTTAAGTCCTTTTTCTATCCCCTCCCCTCTCAATTAGAGGAATTCAATACTCAAGGTGAGGAAAACTGCTCCAGTTGGGGTCCTAGTGGTGATGGGAAACTTCTTACAGATCTGAGTGATCTAAAACCAGCAGGAAAAGCCAGCGGGTTTGTGGTCTCTGTGGCCCCCTACTACGTGGTGCTAACAAGGCCCTGCGTCTTCCATGTGACCCTGTAATGTCAGCTGTGGAGCCTGGGGCTTCACAGTCTCCGTGCAGAGTCAGGGTTTAGGGGAAGCCTTTCTTGTGAGAACATGAAGACAGTGTGAAGAGACAAGCACTTATCCTTAACTTCCATTTCCTCAAGGAGTCTGTGTAAAAGAGGATTCCTATTAGCTGTAATAACTTGAAATTAAGTGTTTTAAAGTAGGGTGGGAACAATTTAACATGTAAAGTGCCACTTAACATAGTAATTTTATAGGAGCTAGTCTCCTTGGGGGATAGAAACTGAGACTACATTTGGGGCAGTTCATGGCTGTTAGTATACACATGAAAACTTCCCATTTCACAGCAAGTGAATTTTGACTTTTCATTAGGGCATAAAAATAAATCTCATCAAGATTTTCAACCCAGGAAGCCTTTTTGTTAACCCAGTGGCAGGTGAGGATGTGGGTGGGGATGTAACTCATTTTCAGATTTTTCCCGAGGTGTGCCTTGGGTCCCCATGCATTGAAGCGGTAGTTATGGCTGCAGATGATAAACTCATTCTACCTGAGAATTTTACAGAAAGAAACATGGAGCGAGGCTTTAGTCGGGCGTCACACATACAGCCTCCTGTCATTTCCGGGAACTACATCCCAGGGAAGCCCTGACTATGCGAACCCATTCTCAGGAACACTCACATGTAGATACCACTAGACTAACACAGTGGGTCTGAGATTTTTGCCCTGTTTATACACTTACTGATTGTCTGTTTCTTACATAGTTTTTCATCTAGGTATGAGGTGTAATGCTTAATGTTATTGCTTCTCAAAAGGTTATGTAATTACAGAATCATAACAGAAATGGCTAATATAAAGGTACTTCATATAGAGTCTAAACCAGGGTGAGTTGGAAACAGCTAATTAATTATAAACAAGAAATCATCTCAATTTCACAAAAGATGATGTGTAGTGTTACCCAAAATGGAATGTGTAGTTGTCTTATCAGCCCTCTTCCCTTGGTCGGGGAAGTTAGCTTCCAGGGATTCTTGGTAATTTGGGGATTATTCATCCAAGAGAAAAGTGACCAAAGAAGTGAGAGCACTGACGAAAGTAGTAGTACAAATGGCCATAGTGTAAGAAGAATATTCACCCTCATTGTAATCAAAGGAATGATTTCCAAGATAAAGATCTATGTTAACCTAATAGGTTAAAAAAATTAAAAAGAATACTAATCTCTGGTGTTGGAGAGCGCAGGAAGGTGGGCACAAAGACTCTTGGGGGTAACCGGTACTGTCTTGCCCCAGGCAGTTTGGCACAAGGCACCCAAATACACAGATCCTTTCATTGGGCATGTATGTACAAAGGTGTGCGTGTAAGAGTGCTTATCAAAGCTGCGGTTATGATAGGAAAAAAGGCAGGAAATAAAATGTTTGTCAGTAGGGGGTCAGTTAAAGCAATACTCGTTAGCCATTAAAAGTAATGAAATACTTCTATTTTTATACTTATTGTGAAATAATTAGGTTACAGAAGAGTAGTGTAAAATATGTTAATATACAACCTATATGTATTATAATATACAGTTTATAAACTTATGTATGTGTGTGTATGTTCTAATATATTATACCCTAATATAATCTAGGGTAAATGCTTCCTTAGCCGTACCTCTTCCCCTCCAAGCAAACGGAAGCACTCACTAGAAGGCCCTGCAATGAATGAAAGTGATATGACAGGGGTCACTTAGAATATATTAGAATGTTTCCTTTTCATATTTTTTTCATTGTTGGCGGGGGTAATTGTAGTGGATTACTTTTATACTTAGGGGGAAAAATTAAATGAATTAAAAAATGAAGAGAACCCAACAATAGTCGTAAAGGGGTAGCAGTGTCTGTTCTAAATGTGACACCTGACCACGGCTCACCTATGCCAAGAGTTTCTGTAACCTAAATACAGGCCTTTGCTTGATGGCTTCATCTAAACCTTTCAATAGTGGAATTGTGAAGAGGAGAATCGGGGTTTTGCTTACAGGAACTTGCAGAATTTGGCTGATTATGGGTAGATGCATGTTCCGGTTAGCAGTGTGACTTAGGGATTTAATGAATGCAGAGTGCTGTCACTGCTAAGTTAGCACCTGAGTTTCTTCCCGGAGGAAGCTGAGGAAAAGTTCACAGCACTTGCGATCCCACTGGGATGGCTTTTGTGTAAGTTGACTTCTCTAAACTAGGCAGAGTATTAGTCGAGAGAAGAGGAAACTACTTCTCTTAAAATAATGGGTTTATTGTGATTGTTATAATTTAGTTTTTAAACTCACAATCAAAATAAATCTGTTGTCAGATTCAAAAATTTTTAATTGCATCTTTTCCAAATTTGCTGATTTGCCAATGAATGTAACTCATACAGCAAATTAAAGGCAACATGTGTGGTTTGTGTGGTAGTCTGGCCTCTTTAAAGATAAAGGACACTACAGACCACGAACATGACATACATTAGCTTTTAGCATCAGCCTGTCCCATTCCCTAGTCTTTTTCAGATTCACTGACTTGTTTAATGTGGCATATACCTGGTTTGCTCTTTTATATGCTCAGTATAAAAACTTTTTGTTGAGACAGAAATATGCTGTATTATCTTCACTGATTTGTTGTGTTTTGTTTAAAATATTACAAATGTCCCTTTTTCTCCCCAGTGACCCATTCCACCCCGTCCCACCCTCCTCCCCAGTCCCTCTCCCCCCCATTGTCCGTGTCCTTGGGTTGTGCATATATGCATATAAATTCTTTGGTTAATCTCTTCCCTTCCACCCACCCACCCTCCTCCATCCCTCTGACATTCATCAGTCTGATCCATGCTTCCATGTCACTGAATCTATTCTGTTCATCAGTTTATTAAGTTCTTTAGATTCCAC